AGTGAAGTACCTATTATCCGGGAGGACGCTTTCTCTTTCGAAATAACGTTAAAAGAATGCAATCACAGAGTACTATCTATCTGAATTTCCAAATCAAATTTCAAATTGTTCCATTCTGTTTAGCTTTTTTCTGATTGATTCATTCTGGGGACTGGCAGAAACTCACCTGGGAAAAAATGACTCATCCAAATGAAAGAATATCCCCCAACTAGCAACCAATACTAATTCTTTTCTGTATTATTCCAGGACTGGTGGAGGAATGAGCCTCACTGCCAAGTACTCGGTGATGGGAAAAGATAATCTGTCATGGGATAATCATAGAGATGAATTCATGGGGCACCTGTCACGAAATGATACTGAATAAGATGAACTGATAATGTCAACCCAGGGTTAATAAACACCTGGTTTACTTAATTGGGGAGGTACCATAATATAAGGGGAAATATCACTATTTTGGGACCCACCATATTAATAAACTGAGTACTGGTGGTGTAATAATCCGGGGTAATTATCAATAGGTCAACATCCAACCCCGCCCATCTTAGCTTGATTCGAGGAGCGGGAACCGGACGATGTCGCAATGGCTGCCGGTGATGACGCTGACGATGGTGATGAAGAAGAACAGCCTGTCCCAAGGAACCGGAATGAATTTTACCGTCTCTTCAACCAGAAGGGCCCGACAAATATGATCTGCGAGTTCATGTCTGACAGTTCTCTAAAGGTTACAGCACGTATCGTTGTGGACATCAGTTACCCCTTGGAATCCAGTTACTACTCAACACTCAAGCAAGTGGCTGAGGGATGGAACTCACAACGCTGTTGGGTCAGTGGGCGTGCTGTTGGTGAATGGCTTCATACAATCCATGAAATTACACGAGTCTTGGAATCTGAATTGTTTCATGACCATTTGGATATGACAAGGTGCATGAGGATGGTGGCTCCCCCAGAAGTGTGGCCACAATGGGCACTACAGGAACAGGAACGATTGAATGAGGCCTATGTCTTTGCGATGGCCCTTGCCGAGAATTGGTTGTGGGCCAATATTCATTTTTGGCTTGAATTTCCTTCTGTGATCGCATGTGTGTTGCACTCTGACGAAGAAATCGCAACCATGGCTTTTGCTCACATGGAGAATCTTGCAAAAGCTGTGAACACAGTTGAAAGGCATGAGAGACCTCTGATGAAGGAGCTTCTAAGTGATCTTGGGTGGAATCGGGAACAATTGGCCCGGGAAAGCATGGCCATGGTACTGCAAGGCCACAAGGAGGAGCTCAGAAGGTTGGCCAACCGCCTCTTTACAGGCACGCCTTCAACCAAAGACTGCCTGGAAAACACGTTCGCTTTCCTCAAACGAAAATCCCAAGTCCATTCCAACAACAGGATGTCGGACATGTCAAAGTATTTGTATACCTTTGTGAGCCCCTATGCAGAGAGTGGGGGATGCCCTCAAATTTTGCCTTCCAAGAGTGACCTGAACACAATGCACTCACCAGCCGGATTTGCAGCCAGACAAATGGCACACCGAGAACTGTTCTCGCCACAGCTGTCACTGTTTCCTAATCCCAAAGCTGTTCCCAAACCAGGCCTGGGTGACTCATTTTTTTGTCATTTCATGTGTTCCCAGGAATGTTGGTTCATTTCCTTTCACGGACTTGCTTTATTGTTTTCTGAACATATTTGAGTTCCAATGGTTTTGGGTTTCCTATCCCTTCACATTCAGGACAAATTTTTGCGTCTGGATTCAAAGCAGCTGGAGTGGGGGCTCAGCACAATTCAGCAGCGGCTGCGGCATTTCTGTTGCAGGATTCTGAATACGAATGGACCCACATTGATCTGTGCTGGGTTGGTCCCTTTGCGCATTCAACGGCATACTTTTGAGTTTAGTAATAAAGTCAAAAGAAGTCTCAACGCACAATTTTGTATTGCTGTATACTGCGCACTATATACTAGATTATGTGTTTTTTATACTATATATATATACCTCTGTCTCAACTCTCAGGCAGCCTGTTTGTCTCTGGCTGCATTTATTACCATCGATCTCGGGATCTCTATGTGCTGAGCTTCGGTTACCGCAAATGGGCAACAGTGGGATGCCCATTGAAAAAGGAGACCTTGGGGGACAAGGACTGGACGGCTAATTTGCCCCCCAAAAAATGGTTTTGTTTGGGCTTCCAAAGTAATGTCAACCCCCGGATTAATAAACCCGTAGGCTGTTTAGTTGAGGGGGTATCATTTACATTTAAGTATCAGACCATCACTATTTGGGAGTACCACCCAATTAATAAACCATGGTTTCATCAATCCAGGGTTGATATTATCAATCCATCACATCACCGCGAGGACTACCTGGTTATTTGTCCGCCGGTGAGCATGTCATTGCCGATGGCTCGGGACTTGTGCTGGATGGTCAATTTTGACCTTGATGGAGACTGGCGATTTGTGCCTGTCAAGAGATTGGTCCGTGCTTTGCTGCCGTGTGCTCTTTATGAATCTGGTCGTTGCTTTTGCTGGGAAATCACACGGCCGGAATTCGAGCCCTTGTTGACTTCAGCTGTCAGGGAAGGTGTGTGGATTTCCCTTGCCAATATACGCCAAATCTGCCACACTCTTGGGGTAGAGCCACCACGATCAAAACAAGGATCTGGAAAAAATGGTGCAGTGATCAAGGTGGACTGGGCGCAGAAACTGGTACAACATCTCTTTCCCAATGCAGATGAACAGGAACAAAAGAGGATGGCCGCGGCCCTGACGTGGAAGTCAGGCAGTGCCAAAAGCACTTTCGATTCCAAAGAAGGTGGTGTGGAGCGCACCGTGCTGAGGATGGTGGCCGAGCTCGACGAGGAAAACCGGGAGGCCCCCGAATTCATGAAGGTGGTCAAACTCGCCAAATCCAAGCTCAGAGCAAGAGACCAAAGAAACCGTGACAGAGACTCGAAAACTCGTTTTGGCTGAAATGAAAAGATCTGAGTTGGAAGAGAAAGAGCGGTTGGAAAAGGCTGAGCAAGAAGCAGCGCGTGCTGCAGAACAGGAGAAAGCAAGATTGGATGCGGCAACGTCAGGTGCTGCATCATCATCTTCAGCTAGCAGGAACGCAAGCCAAACACCCAAGAACCTTAAGGACTTTTTGAGTCCCCAGATGCTCTCCAGTAAGATTTCACTGAATCGTCTACCAGCAGGGTATGGATACCGCGCATTCTACGAAAGCCGTTTCTTGCATCGAAATTTTGAATGGGTGGTTGTGCACGTATATTATATAATATAATATAATATAATATAATATTATATTATATTATATATATATTAGCCGTCAATAATCAATCAAACCAGCATTCATTAAACGTGATATTCTATCACCTCAATTATGCAGCTAAGTTTTGTGTTCATGATGACAGCTAAGTTTGTCGCACACACCAGATGACGGATGAAGCTTGATGAAACCCCTAATAGATACAGGGACAACCCCCACATCATAAACTGGCGCAGGATTTTAATGTTTGTGTCCATCACTATTCCCGTGTTTCATGTCCGCTGTTCAAGTTTATAAGAAATATTGCAATCTTGAAAGGGCTGTATTCGACATACATCGCATTTACTAAAGGGATAGAATCTTGGATACGTCATGTCATATACAACAACAAATTTATGGTTGCACGTTTTCCGTTCATCTACTTCAGGCGAAAAGCCTGAACTCAAACAGAAGAACTTTCAAAGAAAGTGGCCAACGTCTGAATGTAAAACAGAAACAGAAGCCCTACAAGCAGTGTTGCGCTTTATCTTCGTCCGTTGGAATGAGGAGAACCCAACAAAAAAGGTGGAAATGTTCCTTGGCCTCCTTTGTATGTTTTTCAACAGTGGACCTGGGGTTAAAATCTTTGAATGGGTTTAGGTAACCCTTTTAAACACTTGGAATTGGGTTAAATACCTCATATGAAAAGGCCATTATTGACAGACGCCCCTGGTCATCCCTCAGGGTGGAGCCTGCGAAGATCGCAGAATTTGTGTCGAACTTGCCGAAGGCCAAGTGATGACGCTGATGTCCCCGCCGTATGTGTCGAACTTGTCGAAGACCAAGTGACGATGCTGATGTCCCCGAAAAAAAGCAGAAGCGGTGGCAGTGGGAAGGCATCAGCTGGAGTAGCATCATAGCATCATAGCATCAGTAAAGCATCATCGCAAAGTAGTATGAACTGCACTCAGGGTGGATAGCCATATTTGATAGCTAATGAATAACCCACTTGGACTATCACGGGGCACAGAGTGCCATGATAATCCCTCAATCAGACTGGTCCAGGATAAGGCCAGAATAAGGCCAGAATAAGGCCAGAATAAGGCCAAAGCCAGGTTACCATCAGAATTCTGCTCAAGGGTCACCCGAAGGGGGGGGGTTCAAGGGGGGGGGGTTTGGGATTTGTGATAAGACACATGATAACCATCATAACCCTAACAACTACAATAACCATAATCACCATAACAAACATGATAACCATAATCACCATAACAACTACAATAACCATAATCACCATAACAAGCATGATAACCATAATAACCATAACAACTACAATAACCATAGTAACCATAACAACTACAATAACCATAATAACCATAACAACTACAATAACCATAATAACCATAACAACTACAATAACCATAATAACCATAACAACTACAATAACCACAATAACCACAATAACCATAACAACTACAATAACCATAATAACCATAACAAACATGATAACCACAATAACCATAATAACCATAACAACTACAATAACCATAATAACCATAACAATTACAATAACCATAATAACCACAACTACAATAACCATAATAACCAAAACAAACATGATAACCATAATAAACATACATATATATATAACCAATATATATATATATATAACCATAAATAAATATATATATATATATATATATACACATAGAGAGATAATCTCAGCCACTTACGAAGTGGTCAACAGAGACATGGCATTGGGGACCCGCGGGAGGTGCCTTCGTCAGCACCCCACGCATCGACAACGTGCTGAGTACCTGGGCAGCCTTTGATGGCCTCATCGCCATGGACAAGGAGGTGGGCGCCGGGCGTCCAACGAGATCTGTCGGAGCGCTGCATACATGCAACGGTAAACCAACGGTGTAAAATGGTGAGTGAATGGTGAAACATGGTGGAACTTGGTAAAAAGAAGATCATTTCATATGATATAGTTCACAAATTACCGCAATTACCATTTTATACAATTTCCAGAGAATAGATATTAAGTGGTGAACATGATGAAGAACCATTGGATTTTGGGTAGACTACTTTCAGACAGTGCCCATGTGGTAAATCATTACCCAAATTCATTTCTTTAGCCGATACTATTGAACACCACATCCCAAGAAAAGGGGTTTCTGATTAGTTTTACCACATTATGCATCCGAGAGGAGCATGCCACGGTGCTCTCTCTTTTTGGTGGAAACGATCTTCTGCAGAGACTCCACATGGGAGCACAGATTCAGCGTATGTATGAACGCACAGGTTGAGACATATGTGTTGAAAGAACACAGTGCATTACACTTTCTGAAACAAGAACAATTCTGACCAGTCGGGGCTTGTGGTCAACGAGTAGGAACCACTAGGATGTTTTTTTTTTGCGAAGTCGGATCCACCACAGGTTTCGAGTAGATCAAGCAGACCCCAAGACTAATTTGTACATGTGAGGAACCCTGGTAACGGGACGGGACTGGTTGACTCCCGTTGCACCACTGCCAGCACCACTGGTTTCTGGAGGCATTTCAAAACTCCACGGATTTGATGGTGGCGGCCTCCTTTGACCACGAGGAAGTTGGACACAAGTCAGAAATTGGTGATACCCGGTGTCCTCAAACATGGCTGGGACATCCCTGAAATGGAGGTCTTAGTGGGACAAGCATCTAAAAATGGGGGATTTTCCATGGGATTTTCCATTGCCAGGTTTGATGACACCAGAGGGTACTTTGTGGCTGGCACCAGTTGTTGAATCGGGAGGTAAGACAATCCCAGCATCTCAACCGTGAAACCTGTGGGGAAGGTGAACATTTGCAGAGGTGAAGCAGTGACTTATTTACTGTATGCATACAGAAGTAGCACACATAATATAAATGGTACGTGTATGTGATATACAATATACAAATGCAGATACATGTACATGAATAATGTCAATGTAGACCCAGATGTCAAGAATATATATATATAAGTATATACACATGTGCATACGCGTAGACACAAACATATCCATGAATCTATTCATTTATATGTGAAGCCCTATTCATTATCTTTTCACTTTGTCATTTGCGCATGTTTCGTGCTCTGTCTATTTGACCAACTGATTGATAGTAATCTCATCAAAAAAATCAAGCACCTTGACATCAAAAGGTCAAGACTAGACAAACAAATTCACGAAACAATTGGTTTTATGCTCCGCTTTTGCCGATTCAATCCAAAGAAAAAGCAATTCAACATTTCAAACAGATGGTTGAATCGCCAGCCAATTCCGAATTGGGGACAAATCTTCCAATCTGAAATCCCACATTTAAGTCAGCCTTGGGCCTTTTTCATGGCTTAACAGCCCATTTTTTCCTCCATTTTGTGTTTTTTTTGGTGCCGGGCGAACTCCGAAATCAGTCCCCAACTCGTCCAGGTAGCGTCTCGGCGGCCGGCGCCGACTCGGCGGTTCTGGAGCGCTGGCTCAACGAGGCGTTGAAGGCCTTGGATGGACGCTGGAGCGATGTGGTGTCGCGGAGCTTCCTGCTGTGGCGTGGCAGGGGGATGGATGGGTGGAACATGTGGCATATTATATGTATACATACATACATACCTACATACATACATACCTACCTACCTACATACATACATACCTACCTACATACATACATACCTACCCACATACATACCTACCTACCTACCTACATACATACATACCTACCTACATACATACATACCTACATACATACCTACCTACCTACATAGATACATACCTACCTACATACATACATACATACCTACCTACATACATACATACCTACCTACATACATACATACATACCTACATACATACATACCTACCTACATACATACCTACCTACCTACATAGATACATACCTACCTACATACATACATACCTACCTACATACATACCTACCTACCTACATACATACATACATACCTACCTACATACATACATACCTACCTACAGACATACCTACCTACCTAAATACATACATACCTACCTACATACATACATACCTACCTACATACATACATACCTACCTACATACATACCTACCTACATACATACCTACCTACCTACATACATACCTACCTACCTACATAGATACATACCTACCTACATACATACATACCTACCTACATACATACATACCTACCTACATACATACATACCTACATACATAACTACCTACATACATACATACATACCTACATACCTACCTACCTACATACATACATACATACCTACATACATACATACCTACCTACATACATACATACCTACCTACATACATACCTACCTACATACATACATACCTACCTACATACATACATACCTACCTACATAGATACATACCTACCTACATACATACCTACCTACCTACATACATACATACCAACCTATATACATACATACCTACCTACATACATACATACCTACCTACATACATACATACCTACCTACATACATACATACATACCTACCTACATACATACCTACCTACATACATACATACCTACCTACATACATACATACCTACATACATACATACATACCTACCTACATACATACCTACCTACCTACCTACATACATACATACCTACCTACCTACATACATATATACATACCTACCTACCTACATACATACATACCTACATACATACATACATACATACCTACCTACATACATACATACCTACCTACATACATACATACCTACCTACATACATACATACCTACATACATACATACCTACCTACCTACATACATACATACCTACCTACATACATACATACCTACCTACATACATACATACCTACATACATACATACCTACCTACATACATACATACATACCTACCTACATACATACATACCTACATACCTACCTACATACATACCTACCTACATACATACATACCTACCTACATACATACATACCTACATACATACATACCTACCTACATACATACATACATACCTACCTACATACATACATACCTACCTACATACATACCTACCTACCTACATACATACATACTTACCTACATACATACATACCTACCTACATACATACACACCTACCTACCTACATAGATACATACCTACCTACATACATACATACCTACCTACATACATACTTACCTACCTACATACATACATACTTACCTACCTACATACATACCTACATACATACCTACCTACATATATAGATATCTACCTACATACATACATACCTACCTACATACATACCTACATGCCTACATACCTACCTACCTACCTACCTACATACATACCTACCTACCTACCTACATACATGCATACCTACATACCTACATACCTACATACCTACATACCTACATACCTACATACCTACCTACCTACATACCTACCTACCTACCTACATACATACATACATACATACTTACATACATACATACATACATACATACAGTACGCACATACAGTACACACATACAGTACACACACACACATATATATACATACATACATACATATATATATATACATACACATATATATATACATATATACATATATATATATATTATATACAGTACACATATATATATATATATAGACATATCTATATATATATATACATGTACATACATACGTATATATATATATATTTATTTATATAAATATAATTAATGAGGTAAACCCAATGCCATCAACCATTCCCCAAAATCAACATTTTTATGGGGGCTATAAACCATGCCCCAATTGGTAGGTATATGGCGTTGGGTTTACCACATATAGGTGGGATAATGTAGTTCTGAATCTTCGAGAGATTTTTTTTTTTTGCAAGGTTCGTATTGCAGTTGTTATTGGGAGAAGTCTTCTTTTGAAATAAGTTAATATGGGGCATGGGGAGAGATGATCGAAATGAACCTTTGGATCAAGATTAGCGAGATCACCTAATGGTAGTGGCAAATAACATTGTGATTAGATAACATACGAGCTAAATGTATGAGCTGTATGCTAAATAGAATCGGATGTTCACCGAACTATGACTATCCGAGTACCATCCAGATTTCCCCGGGTTTTTTGACCCATTTCCCCACCTCTTTTCGTCTCCATGTCCTCCTCCATCCTGTGTCTCTAAGGAGCTGTGACTGTGCTCATGGACTTCACCCGAACTACATGAGTCGCTGGGCGGCACCAGTGCGGTGGAAATTCCCCGAGTTCACAGTCCACATATTTCGACATATTTCGACCTCCTACATCGTCTTAGGTCCATCTTAGGTTGTCCCTGTGGCAGCGATTCGACCGAGGCAAGCACCAGGCGCAGCACCAGCCCATCTTGGGGAAGGGCATCGTCATCAAGAGCAACAGCAACCAGAGATATGCCACGACGCCCATCTTGGCACAGATGCTTCGCAAAGTGGGCGAAGTCTCAAAGGTGCCACTGCAGGCGCCTGATGATTCAGTGACTCATCCCATCCAGTAAATCGCCCATCATAATCCCCAAATGAACTGATCCAATACGAAATCAGGGTTTCAATAATATCGGGAGGCCAGTTGATATCAAAAAGCTGGAGATTTACATATATTTACCATTATTTACCATAAACATCCATTAACCATAAGGATCCATAAGGACCATAATCATAGACAACAACCCCACCACCCCCCCACTTCGTGGAGGGTTCTGGGTCTCCAGGAGTTCGTGGTGCGCAACGATTGCCCCTGCGGCTCCACCATAGGCCCGCTGCTCTCGGCGCAGCTGGGCATCCGCACGGTGGATGTTGGTGCGCCGCAATGGGCCATGCACAGCTGCAGGCGGCAGCGGCAGCGGGTTGGGCGGGTTGGGACTTGGAAGCTGAAACTCCCATGGTGTTGAGCAGCCTGTTTTTGAAGATCTGCAGTTTTAAATGTTTGTTTTCGTGGCTTTCTGAATGTTATTTCCAGATTGCCTTAACCTGGCACTGTGCCTGCCTTGTTTTTTTTTTTCAGGGAATCTGCACATCAAGACGATGTCCAAGCTCTGCGTGATCTTTGCAAAGGCTTTTTCCAAAGCTTCCGCAGTACCTTGGCTGAACCGCTGGTGTTTTTTCCAACGCTTGGCTGCTTGGCTGGTGCAATCACCAGCGACGCCCGAGGTGTGGATTCCTCCACGAAAACGCTGTGACGCTGTGAGCCAATTTTCCGACCTCGGTGAAGAAAAGTCAGATGGCAGCTCCGGGGAAACAGGCGGAAATAGGTAGCTGTGGTCCAGTGGTCCAAAGCCGCCAAAGCCGCCAAAGCCAACTTTTGACTTTTGAGTGTTTGATCGGTGAAATGTGGCTAGCCAGGAAAGATTTGACACAACATACATAGCCCAATGACCCAAGGTGCAGTTTTGATCGAAAAAGGCGGGAAACGAACTCGAACATGAAGAGTTGCTGCCTAGCAATTACAAGACCACCCATCCTCATAGGGCTGTCAGGCGCAAACTTACAATTCAGGAGGCTGAGGATATTTTTCCAAATGTATTCCAGAGTTCTTGATAGAGTTCTCAGCAACTTAGGGCCAAGTTTCGAAAACCGTTTCAAACTCCATGAAGTGTTATTCTTTTTTTTTCGAGGTCATTGACCCAAGCAGAGCTTCAGGGGTCTTTTCCTTTTCTTTCAGCATGCAGATCACACTGGTTTGGGCCTTCGGCCTCACAAATTCCGAGTCTTCGACTCCTCATCCACTCGCCCTGGTGGAGACACCAATGTAAACCGACCAATTCAGGTCTGCAAAGCAGTGCTATTTTCAAGTATGAGCAGCCCCAGAGGCTTCTGAAAATGGGGATCCCCAGTTCAATGACAGGATGATTTGGGGTACCTCGGTACCTCCATGAATTGGAAACCTCCATATGTGTGTATGGGTCAAACATATCATCCCCCCCAAAGTGGATGGTTCAAGGTCCATTGGTATTCCAATTTTGCGCCGCCATACCCTTATGATTCATGAGCACCAGAACAAGAGCTCCTAGGTTTTGGTCCATAAAATAATAAGGAACCCCTAAATCCACTAGTTCATCATCAGTTCCCCTATTTATCATAGCCATAACTGAGGGTATAAACCATTCTGATCCACACCACAGATAAGTCAACTGGGACTGTGATTCATCCGCCCAGGAAATCGCAAAGTCAATGCGTTTGGTCCACCTGGGAATGCGGTGCGTGGATGCATGAGAGCTTCTTGCCGGGGAACCCAACACTTTCGAAGTGCTTTCTCCTGGTGGTTGGTGGAGGCTTAAGGCCTAAATTGCCGGGAAGACCCTTAGTGTGGTACAGGTACTGGGTCTGGTTGGTGGTTTGGAACATGAATTTTATTTTTCCATTCAGTTGGGAATGTCATCATCCCAACTGACGAACCCCATCATTTTTCAGAGGGGTAGGTCAACCACCCGGGGTCATTTTTTGGGGCTGTCAATTGATTTCATGGGGGAAGAGTACCCAGCAGGTCACGCCTGGCTGATGATACAGCCTGTGCCTACGATTTTGGATGGCACGACTTTCACGCCAGCGGACATGGCACCTTCAACGGTGCGGACGTGCGGACGGGACGTGTCGGGATGGTGAAGTGGAAAAAACGGCACCAAAAAACGGCAGAGTGGTCGTTGTTGACCCTTTGGTCAACCTGGGGGTTCGATTTTGGACCCGCAACTTGGGGATACTTGATGCCATGATCATTTCTTTTTGACTCAAGTTTGTAGCCTCAGCATTTGTTTCACCTTCATTGCCATGGATTCGCAGGGTTACGCTTCCAGTGTGCTTCCTGGGGACGTGCCAATGTCAGAGGAGATCATTGGTGAGGAATTGATGAACTTGTGGGACAAGATGAACTTGGATCATGTCAAGGCTGTTGAAATCGATTCTGCCACCACCGTTTCTTTCGAGGTGTATTTGATCCCAGAAGCGCGCATCCCTTCTCTGTCCCTCAGCGAAGACCCAGGCTCTAAGATCCCCAAAACAGACGAGTTCAGAGACTTGGAGGTCTCCACAATGGCTGGGAAAATCATCAAAATCCAAGTTGCTCCAAACTCCAGCGTGGCCATGGTGAAGGATGCTTTGCAAAAACCTTTGGGCCTACCTGCGCTGCTGCAGCGGATAGTCCTTTCCGCCAAAGAATTGGAGGATTCAGAACAACTTCCTCCAGAGGTCACTGCGTTGACTGTTTTGCGCCGCGAGCCACCTCCCATCACTACGGAAGAGTTCTTGGAAAGCCTGGCCTTTGGTGCTCACGCTTGGGACAACACCCTGGTGTCCAAATGGCATGGATTTGATACCTATTCCAGCTTTCCAGTGACTAAAGACGAGATTTTTGAATGGCTATGCAACTTCCGAAAAATGAAGCACACCGCCTTCACGGTCGAACACTTTCTGACGTCGCTGAACGTGTGGTTCCACGAAAGCAGTGGCGATGATGAACAGGAAGTAGTGCACCCTGAAAGTTTTTTGACAGATGTGGGGAAGTTGCAAGGCTTTCTGGAGCAGCATTGTCACTCTCCATCTCTGTTCCAGGTCTACGAAGACACTTGCTGTCACGACGACGATCAGGAGTTCATGTTGTTCATTGCAGGTCGTCTGAAAGTGGCATCTGACACTCTGATGGTGGCAGCTGTTCACCTGAATTGTTGGATCTAAAAAAAATCCAGGGCACAGAGCCGACCAGGCGAGAAAAAACACCATCACTACCAGGAACATCATCGATACATTGGGGACTTCCCTGTATCCCTTGCGAAGACAGATTGCAACAGGGCTGAGATGACAACCCATAGGCCTCTTGTTGTGGAGTTGCAATGCAAATCCCGGCAGGCAAAGCTTGTTGAAGTTGGATCAAGATATTTTGAAGTGACATACTTTTGAGATCTTTTGAATTGTTTCGGTATGTTTCCAATCTACCGAGCATTGCAGGGTGCCCTCCTGGCAGGTGGTCGTTTCTTTCCTTTGCCGCACACCAGATGGACCGGTTGAGCACAGCAGTCAGTGTGCTCTCCCAAGGGATAGAGATGCTTTCCTATGCTTTCTTTACTTTCAAGGCGTCAGCATGTCGATCTAGAATGATCTAGAATGTGTGTGTATATATATATATACATAAACATAATATATATATATATATACATACGTACGTACGTACGTACATACAGACAGACAGACAGACAGACATACCATACCATACCGTACCATAACATACCATACATACCATACATACCATACATACCATACATACCATACGTACCATACATATATACATTACATACATACATTACATACATACATTACATACATACATTACATACATACATTACATTAACATTAACATTAACATTATTACATTACATTACATTACATTAAATTACATTACATTACATTACATACATAAGTCTTTCACTATTTTGCTGGTTCAGACCAAGATCAGCATGATACACAGGATCAGCCTTATTCTCAATCCTGAACTTCTCCTAGATCCAAATCAAAAGGAGTCACGCTGTTGTCGCAGCTTGTGGCCGAAAACCTTCCCTGTATAGGCTCTGAACTGGAATCCTGGAAGCCAAGTTGAGCCGTGTCACAAGAGTCTCTAGCTGATTTTTAGTCTGATGATATTTTCTTATTCATTATTCATTATTCTTTAGACACTCTGAACACTTGATGCTGCCCCTCGGAATCAACCCAACTGAGCCCGCAGGAGCATCAACATGATTGCATTCAAGATGGAGGACATGCACGTGTCAGTTTTTGAGTTTTGCAAAGCACTACCTGACCGTTGCTGCCAAATAATGGTGCAAGAAAACCTCACGATCCTCGAACACTCACACACGTCATGGTTGTTTGGTTCCGCACATCCATTTTTCGCTGGAAAATCCGCATCAAACACGGGGGTTTCATTCGGAAAATAATCGAACAACAATGCGGGGATTTTCCAGCCACGTTTGATGACACCAGATGAGATATCCCATGAATATCCCATAAAACCTCCATAGAATTCCCGTGAGAAAATCCTATTAAATTATGTAAAATCCCATTAAATCCTAGAAATTCCTAGAAACCATGGAATTTATCCCATGAAACGAAATGAATATCCCATGAAAGACCCTTATTTTTGTTCGGATTTCCCGTGTTAAACACCCAGGGTGTTTGTCAATCGTCCCAGGATGTAGCTGATGCGGAACCCGAAAGCTTGGCTGAAGACGATGAGAAGGAGCTCTCGGTGGTTCATCCTGCGAGGTGCAGCAAGATTTCATGGATTCTGATATATGATGATAGGGAATTCTACTGGGAAAGCTTGAATCTTGCTATGGAGATTTGCTATATACAATATATATATATATATATGATAAAATATTTCTGGAGATTTGCTAATCATCTTGATTAGATTATGATAGGGAATTCTACTGGCTAGTTTGGAGATTCTTATAACCAGTAGAACCCGCAGGTTTCGACGATGCTCAAAGGTGGGGATTTTGAAGAACACCCTGGGGTAAACTAACACTTAGTATATAAATGTATATAACTAACACTTCGATGTGGAAAATCCACTGTAGTTCGTTTTCCGAAGCCATGGGTTTTCCACATCGAACTCTTAGTTTAGCCGTAGGGTAATATGGGTCTGTCTGAACATGGTATATACCCCCAAATGGTACTTTTAAGAGGGAACATGCTGATTCACCAGTGAGGTGCCTTTTTTGGTGGGTCCCCCAATTTTAGATGCCGAAAAGAAGTTTGATCCAGGACAACAGATGGTGGTTTTAAGCCATGCCATTTCAACAAAATTCCGTAACCTTTCGATATATGATGGTTATTGATCAACCATTTATAAACCATTTATTTATATATTATAATATATATATATGTATTAACCGTTTATATTTCGATATATGATTAACCATTCATAAATGATGGTGGTTATATTTGCAGGGTGCCCTGTTAACAGGGATAGGATGGGATAACCACATGCCATGGGACATCATAGGACTTTTGTGACGGGATCAAATGGGATACATTGGTCCAACATGATACCTCGGTTGGTCCAAAAATGGAGAATTTATTTCATCAGCAACGGTTGGCACTTGTAATTTTTTCACGAATCACCAATGGTTATGAGTTGCCTCCAATCATGGAGATTTGGTCTAGCCAACCAAAGAGAGGATGTAATGTGATATTATGACATATATATATAATATATATATAATATATATATATAGTATATATATAATATATATATAATATACACACACCCAACTGCAACATTATTTGGATCTGTCCAAACATGGGGGGGCGCCATCGCCATCCGCTATCTATGACAAAACCAGATATGATATGACGGAAATTGAAAAGTAAGAACGTACGGGGATGTTGCATTGCAGTAGGAGAAGGGGTTCAGAGAAACCACGCAAGCCTCTAAGCCTCTAAGCGCCTAAGCCTCTAAACGCAAAGAGACTGGGCAAAAGCGCATAAGCCTCTAAGCGCCTAAGCCTTTAAGCGCAAAGAGACTGGGCAAAAGCGCATAAGCCTCTAAGCCTCTAAGCGCCTAAGCCTCTAAACGCAAAGAGACTGGGCAAAAGCGCATAAGCCTCTAAGCCTCTAAGCGCCTAAGCCTCTAAGCGCAAGAGACTGGGCAAAAGCGCATAAGCCTCTAAGCCTCTAAGCGCCTAAGCCTCTAAGCGAGAGACTGGGCAAAAGCGCATAAGCCTCTAAGCCTCTAAGCGCCTAAGCCTCTAAGCGCAGAGAGACTGGGCAAAAGCGCATAAGCCTCTAAGCCTCTAAGCGCCTAAGCCTCTAAGCGAAAGAGACTGGGCAAAAGCGCATAAGCCTCTAAGCCTCTAAGCGCCTAAGCCTCTAAGCGCAGAGAGACTGGGCAAAAGCGCATAAGCCTCTAAGCCTCTAAGCGCCTAAGCCTCTAAGCGAAAGAGACTGGGCAAAAGCGCATAAGCCTCTAAGCCTCTAAGCGCCTAAGCCTCTAAGCGCAAAGAGACTGGGCAAAAGCGCTAAGCCTCTAAGCGCCTAAGCCTCTAAGCGCATAAAAGCGCTAAGCTAAGCCTCTAAGCGCCTAAGCCTCTAAGCGAAAGAGACTGGGCAAAAACGCATAAGCCTCTAAGCCTCTAAGCGCCTAAGCCTCTAAACGCAAAGAGACTGGGCAAAAGCGCATAAGCCTCTAAGCCTCTAAGCGCCTAAGCCTCTAAGCGCAGAGAGACTGGGCAAAAGCGCACAAGCCTCTAAGCCTCTAAGCGCCTAAGCCTCTAAGCGCAGAGAGACTGGGCAAAAGCGCATAAGCCTCTAAGCCTCTAAGCGCCTAAGCCTCTAAGCGCAAAGAGACTGGGCAAGAGCGCATAAGCCTCTAAGCCTCTAAGCGCCTAAGCCTCTAAGCGCAAAGAGACTGGGCAAGAGCGCATAAGCCTCTAAGCCTCTAAGCGCCTAAGCCTCTAAGCGCAGAGAGACTGGGCAAAAGCGCATAAGCCTCTAAGCCTCTAAGCGCCTAAGCCTCTAAGCGCAGAGAGACTGGGCAAAAGCGCATAAGCCTCTAAGCCTCTAAGCGCCTAAGCCTCTAAGCGAAAGAGATTGGGCAAAAGCGCATAAGCCTCTAAGCCTCTAAGCGCCTAAGCCTCTAAGCGCCTAAGCGCCTAAGACCAGCGCATAAGCGCCTAAGCGCCTAAGACCAGCGCATAAGCGCCTAAGCGCCTAAGCGCCTAAGCGCCTAAGCGCCTAAGCGCCTAAGACCAGCGCATAAGCGCCTAAGCGCCTAAGCGCCTAAGCGCCTAAGACCAGCGCATAAGCGCCTAAGCGCCTAAGCGCCTAAGCGCCTAAGCGCCTAAGACCAGCGCATAAGCGCCTAAGCGCCTAAGCGCCTAAGCGCCTAAGACCAGCGCATAAGCGCCTAAGCGCCTAAGCGCCTAAGCGCCTAAGACCAGCGCATAAGCGCCTAAGCGCCTAAGCGCCTAAGCGCCTAAGCGCCTAAGACCAGCGTATAAGCCGCATAAGCGCCTAAGCGCTCAGCGCCCCAGACCAGTCCATAAGCGCATAAGCGCCTACGCGCCTAAGACCAAACCAGGGCTTGAACGAAAGAGATGCCTGAAACGAAAGAAGAGCATACAGAAACGAAAGAAGAACTTCGAACGAAAGCCAGCAGGAGTCCAACGAAAGAGAGAAGATTTCAAACGAATAAGAGGAGTCGAACGAACAAGAGAGGACTTGAACGAAAGAGAGGCTTGAAACGACAAAAGCGCAGAGAGAAACGAAAGAAGGACTTCAAACGAAAGCCAGCAGGAGTCCAACGAAAGAGAGCGGTTGCAAACGAATGAGAGGAGTCGAACGAACAAGACAGGACTTGAACGAAAGAGAGGTCTCAAACGAAAAAAGAGCAGCGAGAACCGAAAGAAGACTTCGAACGAAAGTCAGCCGGAGTCCAACGACAGGGAGAGGTTTCGAACGAATGAGAGGAGCCAAACGAACAAGACAGGACTTGAACGCAAGAGAGCTCTCAAACGAAAAAAGAGCAGAGAGAAACGAAAGAAGACTTCGAACGAAAGCCACTTGAACGAAAGAGACGTCTCAAACGCAAAGAAAGCAAAGAGAAACGAAAGAAGACTTCGAACAGCAGGAGTCCAACGAGAGAGAGAGGATTTAAAACGAATGAGAGGAGTCGAACGAACAAGGCAGGACTTGAACGAAAGAGAGGTCTCAAACGAAAAAAGAGCAGAGAGAAACGAAAGAATTACTTCGAACGAAAGGCAGCAGGAGTCCAACGACAGGGAGAGGTTGCAAACGAATGAGAGGAGTCGAACGAACAAGACAGGACTGGAACGAAAGAGAGGCCTGAAAAGAAAAAAAAAAGAGCATAGAGAAACGAAAGAAAGACTTCCAGCGAAAGTCAGCAGGAGTCCAACGAAAGAGAGAGGATTTCAAACGAATGAGAGGAGTCGAACGAACAAGGCAGGACTTGAACGAAAGAGAGGTCTCAAATGAAAAAAGAGCAGAGAGAAACGAAAGAATTACTTCGAACGAAAGTCAGCAGGAGTCCAACGAAAGAGAGAGGTTGCAAACGAATATGAGGAGTCGAACGAAACAAGACAGGGCTTGAACAAAGAGAGAGAGAGAGAGAGAGGATTTCAAACGAATGAGAGGATTCGAACGAACAAGAAAGGACTGGAACGAAAGAGAGGCCTGAAAAGAACAAAAAGAGCATAGAGAAACGAAAGAAAGACTTCCAACGAAAGTCAGCAGGAGTCCCACGAAAGAGAGAGGCTTTCAAACGAATGAGAGGAGGCGAACGAACAAGATAGGACTTGAACGAAAGAGAGGCCTGAAACGAAAAAAGAGCAGAGAGAAACGAAAGAAGGACTTCGAACGAAAGCCAGCAGGAGTCCAACGAAAGAGAGAAGATTTCAAACGAATGAGAGGAGTCGAACGAACAAGATAGGACTTGAAAGAAAGAGAGGCCTGAAACGACAAAAGAGCAGAGAGAAACGAAAGAAGGACTTCAAACGAAAGCCAGCAGGAGTCCAACGAAAGAGAGCGGTTGCAAACGAATGAGAGGAGTCGAACGAACAAGACAAGACTTGAACGAAAGAGAGGTCTCAAACGAAAAAAGAGCAGCGAGAACCGAAAGAAGACTTCGAACGAAAGTCAGCCGGAGTCCAACGACAGGGAGAGGTTTCGAACGAATGAGAAGAGCCGAACGAACAAGACAGGACTTGAACGCAAGAGAGCTCTCAAACGAAAAAAGAGTAGAGAGAAACGAAAGAAGACTTCGAACAAAAGCCACTTGAACGAAAGAGACGTCTCAAACGAAAAGAAAGCAAAGAGAAACGAAAGAAGACTTCGAACGAAAGTCAGCAGGAGTCCAACGAGAGAGAGAGGATTTCAAACGAATGAGAGGAGTCGAACGAACAAGGCAGGACTTGAACGAAAGAGAGGTCTCAAACGAAAAAAGAGCAGAGAGAAACGAAAGAATTACTTCGAACGAAAGGCAGCAGGAGTCCAACGAAAGGGAGAGGTTGCAAACGAAGGAGAGGAGTCGAACGAACAAGACAGGACTGGAACGAAAGAGAGGCCTGAAAAGAAAAAAAGAGCATAGAGAAACGAAAGAAAGACTTCCAACGAAAGTCAGCAGGGGTCCAACGAAAGAGAGAGGATTTCCAACGAATGAGAGGAGTCGAACGAACAAGGCAGGACTTGAACGAAAGAGAGGTCTCAAATGAAAAAAGAGCAGAGAGAAACGAAAGAATTAC